CTCAGTGTGTCCCTCAGTGTGTCACTCAGTGTGTCTCTCAGTGTGTCCCTCAGAGTGTTCCTCGGTGTGTCCCTCAGAGTGTATCCCTCAGTGTGTCCCTCAGAGTCAGAGTTTCCCTCAGTGTGTCCCTAGTGTGTCCCTAAGTGTGTCTCTCAGATTGTCCCTCAGTGTGTCCCTCAGTGTGGTCCTCGGTGTGTCCCTCAGTGTGTCCCTCAGTGTGTCCCTCAGTGTGTCTCTTAGATTGTGTCTCTCAGATTGTCCCTCAGATTGTCCTTCAGTGTGTCCCTCAGTGTGTCCCTCGGTGTGTCCCTCAGTGTGTCCCTCAGTGTGTCCCTCAGTGTGTCCCTCAGAGTGTTCCTCTGTGTGTCTCTCGGTGTGTCCCTCAGAGTGTGTCTCTCAGAGTGTCCCTCAGTGTGTCCCTCAGAGTGTCCCTCAGAGTGTGTCTCTCAGAGTGTCCCTCAGTGTGTCCCTCAGAGTGTCCCTCAGAGTGCGTCTCTCAGAGTGTCCCTCAGAGTGTCCCTCAGTGTGTCCCTCAGAGTTTCCCTCAGTGTTTCCCTCAGTGTATCTCTCAGATTGTCCCTCAGTGTGTCCCTCAGTGTGTTCCTCGGTGTGTCCCTCAGTTTGTTCATCTGTGTGTCCCTCAGTGTGTCCCTCAGTGTGTCTCTTAGATTGTGTCTCTCAGATTGTCCCTCAGTGTGTCCCTCAGTGTGTCCCTCAGTGTGTCCCTCAGTGTGTTCCTCAGAGTGTTCCTCTGTGTGTCTCTCGGTGTGTCCCTCAGAGTGTCCCTCAGAGTGTGTCCCTCAGTGTGTCTCTCCGTGTGTCCCTCAGAGTGTCCCTCAGAGTGTCCCTCAGAGTGTGTCTCTCAGAGTGTCCCTCAGAGTGTGTCTCTCAGAGTGTCCCTCAGTGTGTCTCTCAGAGTGTCCCTCAGTGTGTGTCTCTCAGAGTGTCCCTCAGAGTGTGTCTCTCAAAGTGTCTCTCAGAGTGTCCCTCAGTGTGTCTCTCCGTGTGTCTCTCAGAGTGTCCCTCAGAGTGTGTCTCTCGGAGTGTCTCTCCGTGTGTCCCTCAGTGTGTCCCTCAGTGTGTTGCTCAGAGTGTTCCTCTGTGTGTCCCTCAGTGTGTCCCTCAGAGTGTCCCTCAGTGTGTGTCTCTCAGAGTGTCCCTCAGAGTGTCTCTCCATGTGTCTCTCAGAGTGTCCCTCAGAGTGTCCCTCGGTGTGTCCCTCAGTGTGTCCCTCAGTTTGTCCCTCGGTGTGTCCCTCAGTGTGTCCCTCGGTGTGTCCCTCTGTGTGTCCCTCAGTGTGTCCCTCGGTGTGTCCCTCAGTGTGTCCCTCAGAGTCAGAGTGTCCCTCAGTGTCCCTCAGTGTGTCTCTCCGTGTGTCCCTCAGAGTGTCCCTAAGTATGTCTCTCAGAGTGTCTCTCAGTGTGTCCCTCAATGTGTCCCTCAGTGTGTTCCTCAGAGTGTCCCTCAGAGTGTCCCTCAGACTGTGTCTCTCAGAGTGTCCCTCAGTGTGTCTCTCCGTGTGTCTCTCAGAGAGTCCCTCAGAGTGTGTCTCTCAGAGTGTCTCTCAGTGTGTCCCTCAGAGAGTCCCTCAGAGTGTCTCTCAGTGTGTCCCTCAGTGTGTCCCTCAGAGTTTCCCTCAGTGTGTCCCTCAGTGTGTCCCTCAGTGTGTCTCTTAGATTGTGTCTCTCAGATTGTCCCTCAGTGTGTCCCTCAGTGTGTCCCTCAGTGTGTTCCTCAGAGTGTTCCTCTGTGTGTCCCTCAGTGTGTCCCTCAGAGTGTCTCTCAGTGTGTGTCTCTCAGAGTGTCCCTCAGAGTGTGTCTCTCAGAGTGTCCCTCAGAGTGTCTCTCCGTGTGTCTCTCAGAGTGTCCCTCAGAGTGTCCCTCGGTGTGTCCCTCAGTGTGTCCCTCAGTTTGTCCCTCGGTGTGTCCCTCAGTGTGTCCCTCGGTGTGTCCCTCAGTGTGTCCCTCGGTGTGTCCCTCAGTGTGTCCCTCGGTGTGTCCCTCAGTGTGTCCCTCAGAGTCAGAGTGTCCCTCAGTGTGTCTCTCCGTGTGTCCCTCAGAGTGTCCCTAAGTGTGTCTCTCAGAGTGTCTCTCAATGTGTCCCTCAGTGTGTCCCTCAGTGTGTCCCTCAGTGTGTCCCTCAGAATGTCCCTCAGAGTGTCCCTCAGACTGTGTCTCTCAGAGTGTCCCTCAGTGTGTCTCTCCGTGTGTCTCTCAGAGAGTCCCTCAGAGTGTGTCTCTCAGAGTGTCTCTCAGTGTGTCCCTCAGAGTGTGTCCCTCAGTGTGTCCGTCGGTGTGTCCCTCAGTGTGTCCGTCGGTGTGTCCCTCAGTGTGTCCCTCAGTGTGTCCCTCAGTGTGTTCCTCAGAGTGTCCCTCAGTGTGTCCCTCAGTGTGTCCCTCAGTGTGTTCCTCAGAGTGTCCCTCAGAGTGTGTCCCTCAGTGTGTGTCTCTCAGTGTCCCTCAGTGTGTTCCTCAGTGTGTGTCCCTCGGTGTGTCCCTCAGTGTGTCCCTCGGTGTGTCCCTCGGTGTGTGTCTCAGAGTGTGTCCCTCAGTGTGTCCCTCAGTGTGTCCCTCAGAGTCAGAGTGTCCCTCAGAGTGTCCCTCAGAGTGTCCCTCAGAGTGTTCCTCTGTGTGTCTCTCGGTGTGTCCCTCAGAGTGTGTCTCTCAGAGTGTCCCTCAGTGTGTCTCTCAGAGTGTCCCTCAGAGTCTGTCTCTCAGAGTGTCCCTCAGTGTGTGTCCCTCAGTGTGTCCCTCAGAGTGTTCCTCAGTGTGTCCCTCAGTGTGTCCCTCAGTGTGTCTCTCAGTGTGTCCCTCAGAGTGTTCCTCGGTGTGTCCCTCAGAGTGTGTCCCTCAGTGTGTCCCTCAGAGTCAGAGTTTCCCTCAGTGTGTCCCTAGTGTGTCCCTAAGTGTGTCTCTCAGATTGTTGGTTTAGTCCGTGGGGGAGTGCTTAAGTGTGGGTACACAGGTTCGCCTGGTGCACAAGGTTATGGAGGTGGGGGTCTTGCTGGTGCTCAAGTGTCCATATACGTCACCCCATATTCACATACCTTTTACCCACCTTAAGAGACACTATTTTGGGGTACAATTTATCCATTTTCACCCCTTTTTTCTGGTTCTTCCAAAAGTTAACTTAGACTTTTTCTGACTCTGGAGGAATGTAACGGGAGTTGTCAGGGGACTATATCCGCCTTAAGAGTCACTATTTTGGGGTACATTTTTATCCATTTTCACCCTTTTATATGGTTCTTCCAAAAGTTAACTTAGACTTTTTCTGACCCATGTACATCACCCTGGATCTCTGCCTGTGAGTGTGGGACCAGTGACTCTGTAAGCAGCAGCCTGTCCTCTGGGTGGGATTGAGCCAGCTGCTGGAAGGAGCTCTCTGGGTCACAGCCTGCTGCTGCGGCTCTCTCCCCCCCCTGTATTCACATCACTTTTACCCAGCTTTCACACACACTCATTCCCGGGTAAGAAAGCCATGTGCATCACCCTGGATCTCTGCCTGTGAGTGTGGGACCAGTGACTCTGTAAGCAGCAGCCTGTCCTCTGGGTGGGATTGAGCCAGCTGCTGGAAGGAGCTCTCTGGGTCACAGCCTGCTGCTGCGGCTCTCTCCCCCCCTGTATTCACATCACTTTTACCCAGCTTTCACACACACTCATTCCCGGGTAAGAAAGCCATGTGCATCACCCTGGATCTCTGCCTGTGAGTGTGGGACCCTGCTTACAGCAGTGACTCTGCTGTACATTTCACGAGTCAAATGTGGATGAAATGGACAGGTTTCATGCTGTTACATACCTGGGTTACATAGTGCTGCGAAGCAGCCTGTCTTCTGGGTGGGAGAGAGCGAGGTGCTGGAAGGAGCTGTCTGAGTCACAGCCTGCTGCTGCTGCTCTCTCCACCCCTGTATTCACATCACTTTTACCCAGCTTTCACACACACACTCATTCCCGGGTAAGAAAGCCATGTGCATCACCCTGGATCTCTGCCTGTGAGTGTGGGACCAGTGACTCTGTAAGCAGCAGCCTGTCCTCTGGGTGGGATTGAGCCAGCTGCTGGAAGGAGCTCTCTGGGTCACCGCCTGCTGCTGCTGCTCTCTCCCCCCCCTGTATTCACATCACTTTTACCCAGCTTTCACACACACTCATTCCCGGGTAAGAAAGCCATGTGCATCACCCTGGATCTCTGCCTGTGAGTGTGGGACCAGTGACTCTGTAAGCAGCAGCCTGTCCTCTGGGTGGGATTGAGCCAGCTGCTGGAAGGAGCTCTCTGGGTCACAGCCTGCTGCTGCTGCTCTCTCCCCCCCTGTATTCACATCACTTTTACCCAGCTTTCACACACACTCATTCCCGGGTAAGAAAGCCATGTGCATCACCCTGGATCTCTGCCTGTGAGTGTGGGACCAGTGACTCTGTAAGCAGCAGCCTGTCCTCTGGGTGGGATTGAGCCAGCTGCTGGAAGGAGCTCTCTGGGTCACAGCCTGCTGCTGCTGCTCTCTCCCCCCCTGTATTCACATCACTTTTACCCAGCTTTCACACACACTCATTCCCGGGTAAGAAAGCCATGTGCATCACCCTGGATCTCTGCCTGTGAGTGTGGGACCCTGCTTACAGCAGAGACTCTGCTGTACATTTCACGAGTCAAATGTGGATGAAATGGACAGGTTTCACAAGAGAAGCAACCTCACTTTGACTTAACTGGAAGTTCTAAGTACTTCTTCCACCTCTGCTTGTTAGGAATCGGGATTTATGTTGGAAAAATCATTACAAATTGGCAATGAGGAACGCTTCACCAATTTGCGTGTCATCCGGGGAGACGGTGTTCTCCAAAATTCTGACCAATGGCTGTCCAGGGTGGATTCAATCGTTCGCCAATGGGAGGCGGATAAAGTTCCAAATCAGAGAATCAAACTTTTGGCGTCCAATCAGTGAGGCGGATTTTTTCAAAATGCTCTCCTCCGTCCGCCATTGTTTCGACCTGGCATTCTACTGACTGACTTCAATCAAGTGACACTGTGAGTAAAATGTGCATTAATTATTAGCAAATACGCGTGTAAACACTGTTACAAAGACACTTCTATGTCCGACATTAGTCATACTGAGTTAGCCGTGGTGTTTGTACGGTACTTTGTGAACCGCTGATGAACTGCTGTGTGTGTTCACCTTGAGCTAGGGCTAGCGGGATGCTACGGAGCCCAGCTATCCGCCCTCTGAAGCTTTTAGAGCCGACAGGGGGAGGAGAATGTCCCGCTAACGCTGTGTGTGTTTCACATTAGCGGGACGCTACGGAGCTCAGGTATCCGCCCTCTGAAGCCTTTAGGGCCGACAGGGGGAGGAGAATGTCCCGCTAACGCTGTGTGTGTGTGTGTGTGTGTGTGTGTGTTTCACATTAGCGGGACGCTACGGAGCCCAGCTATCCGCCCTCTGAAGCTCTTAGGGCCGACAGGGGGAGGACAATACAACGCTGTGTGTATTTATCGCTAAGCTAGCGGCTAAGCTAGCTGGACGCTACGGTTCAGGTATCCGCGCTCTGAGGCATTTATGGCGGACAGGTTGAGGAGTATGTACCGCTCCTGTGTGTGTGTGTAACGGAGCTCAGATGAGAGGGCTCTGATTATAGTTTTAATCCTCTGTCAAACTGCATGTTTTCTGCTATATTTGACGAGAGATAAAATGATTTTCTGCCACAGGAGTTTGACAGAGAATAACTGAAAAAGTACACAGTAAAATAACTTCATAGTAGCCTACTTGTGGTAGAAGTCCAACTAGTACTGACTCCAACAGTAAAGTACTTCATTGTATTTGTGGTAGTGGTCTAACTGAGTCCAACTCTGTGTAGATGGAACATCCAGTATTTCGGAGGGCCCCTAACGGGACTCTCCTCTTAAAGGCCACGGCCGAAGCCAGCACCCTCGCCCCCCGGCGAGCAGCCGGCCAAGCCCTGTACAGGGCAAAGAAGCCCGAGGAGGTGGACGCGGAGGCCTGGGCCCACGTCTCCTCCGAGGGTGGCTCCACCGCCAACGCCACCCTCGTCCTGAGCCGGTGGAAGGTCCAGTTCGGCCAGTACCAGGGAAAGATCTTCCACTGGCTCCTGGAGAACGACGTGGGCTACGCCATTAATCTGGTCGCCTCCCACCAGAAGGAGCGAGAGAAGACAGGGTCTCAGTCCCCGCTGATGGCCAACAAGGTGGAGTACTTGAGTCTGATTCACAATACCATTAAAAGAGTGACAACAGTTTTAACCTTATTTGTGAATTTACAGGACGCCTTCACCCGCTACTCCTCAGCGTACCCTGACTTTCTGGAGGCAGTCAGGTTCCACCGGGCGTTTGAGGAGGCGCGGGCGAAGTCCCTCCTGCCTGGTCAGGAGGGACAGGCCCTTGTTGGCTTCGGGGACTTTAAATTTGAGACCCTGGACAGCCTGTACAAGTCTGTGGACCCCAAACAAATCCGGTATGTCATATGTCATATATATATATATATATATACATATATACACATGTGGATTCTAATTCGGTTGATAAGAATCACGTGTCTGATTTTTGTAGATTTGTCAACTACCTCCGGAGGAAGATTCCCACACCCGGCACGCAGATGGAGAACGCCATCCGCTACACCAAGAGCCGAGACAGACAGAGACCTGCTGCTGCTGCTGCTGCTGCTGCTGCTGCTGCTGCTGCTGCTGCTGCTGCTGCTGCTGCTGCTGCTGCTGCTGCTGCTGCTGCTGCTGCTGCTGCTGCTGCTGCTGCTGCTGCTGCTGCTGCATCCACCACCACCAGCAGCAGCAGCAGCAGCTCTCACACAGTCTCTGTGTCTGTCTCTGGCCAGAGAGCGAGGACTGCATCAAAGTACGTGTGTTATTTTAAAGCTGTCTGAGTTTGACGTACCTGGATGACCTTTCTGAAGACACGTTGGTGTTTTTCATGCTGTGCATTCTAGATGTTGTTCTGTCTCATAGGCCTCTTGGTTCAGCGCTTGCGGCCTTCGTGTCCGGGCGGCGTTCTCTGTCTGCCGTGGAAATGCAGGCAAAGATTAAGAAGCTGGTGGTCCCTAAGCCTGCATTTCCAGGCAAGTCCAGCCTGAATGAAATGCACAGTTTAACCCTATTCGTATTTCTCATGTTCACTGTATATTTTCTTCTCACTCACGTTGCGATTACAGCCTCCCTCAGATCAGCTCTTCCCTCCAAGCCATCGGAGGAGCCTTCCGATGAAGAGCTGATCAGGGCGGTAGTTGACATGGAGGAGTGTAAGTAAAAACTCAAGTAGCATTCATGCAACATGTTGTTGATAATTGAAAGTTTGACTTCCTTTTTGACCCTTCTCCCTTTATTTTGCTCTATAAATATGCCCGTACTCAGAAGGATGTGACCTGGCAGGTAAGTTTGTTTTAATGAATAACTATCCGCCTGTTTCAAGTCTCAAATCACCAAGCTTCACGCCGACCAATCGCCTGTCAAATCATCACTAACGGGTGCTTGTAGAGTAAGCTCATCATCCTCTCCCTCGTAAACCTGTGTAACCCCTCCAACTGCTCGCTGCCTGCATCGCTCCCTCAACAAGTCTAATCTGGTGCCGTTGTTTTGTCTCGTCGTCACTTTCTCTCTTTAAACAACCTTCTGTGCTCCACTAGGTTTTAGTTTTCTGTGGCTCAATATTAACACAACACACATCTAATTCTTTCATGTTAATCAAACATTTGTGTGTCTTTTTCATACCTCTGGGCTGTGGGAAACAGTATTTCAATCTTTCTGTGTGTACAAACATATTTTGAGATTGACATAAAGTTGACTTTGATTTCTCTTTAAGCCTCAGATGTACAGGCCCCTCTCTCGTTCCATCCGCCTCCCGCCACCCGCTCCTCGGCACCACAGAAGGGGGCTGGAGTCTCTGCTGTGCTGGGCGAGCCCACGGACGAGGAGGTGCTGGAGGCCACGCAGGAACAGGACCGCGCCCTGCGACCTCCAGCAGTAGTCCAGCCTGCACCAGCTCCCTCCTCGCTACCGCCGCCCGCAGCCACGGCTTCCCCCGGAGCTGCTGCTCGCGGACAGGAGGAGTTGCTGGCGCCAGCCTTCCTCCCTCCTCCGCCACGTGAGGTAAGACTGTCTGTCAAAACAAACGCTGCTCATCTGCTGCCCTGGAGCGATGTCCTCAGATATAAGTGCCCTTTACGTTGCTCTGGTTCTCTCTCTCCAGCTGCTGCCCGTGTCCTGGCGGGCAGCTCTCACTGTGGATCAGCAGCAGTGGATCGGTCGGGTGCTGTTCACCAGGGACCAGTGGGGGAGGCCGAGCCTCATCCCAGACTTGAGTCTGTGGTGGAACCCCCCCCAATCCCGGCCGATCTACCACCAGCCTCCCGCGTCCCCCGACCCCTTCTTTGCATGTCGGCTGTTTCTCTGGATGCCACACCGGATCTGGCGTCTGCAGCTGACATGCCCCCAGCCTTCATGCACCGGGTCCATGGTGAAGGCTGGGCTGTACAGGACCATCCGGAGGGTTCTGGACATCGACGGCTGGTATCTCATGGCCACCGAGTACCTGGAGTGCCGTCGATGCAAGAAGAAGGTCGGCGGGTGGTCACAGGGTATCATCAGGCAGCTGGCCCCCACCTACAGCTGCCTGTTCCCAGCAGTACTTACATACAAGTGAGAGGAATTGACAACATACCGTATATATAAATGAATGTGATGAAGGGAGCTGTATATAATGCTTATTTTGTGTTTCTGCAGGCTGTCCTGTGACCATAGGGTGGTTACCCAGCTGAAGTCCCGCACTCTGGGCAACAGTGCCACTCAGCTGTGTAACACCCTGCGGGAGCAGCATTCGGACGCCTGGATGCGGAGAGCGATCCAGTACCTCGGCGTGTGCGAGCAGTTCCTGGCCTTGTGCAGCGTGAGGGGGCAGTTTCCACCACCGCCCATAATGCCCACTCTGCCCTCACCCATCTGGCTGCTGACGGTCTATGGCTATGACATAATGACGCGGCTGGATGAGTACAAGGCCAGGATCACGTCCACCTTCGGATCCATCCTTAAGATGGATTCCACCAAGAAGGTTAGTATAGTTTGGCACAATTTCATTTTTTTCTTACAGCCGCCGTGTGTTTATGCACTCACCTTTGAAATATCTCTCTCTCTCTGTCCAGGTGACGAAGAAGCTCGCCGGTACCGCTTCCGACACGGCCGCCTGGGTTACCAACGTTGGTAACGAGTACGGGCAGGTCCTCATCAGCGTCCTCACCTGCTCCGAGGGCGCAGAGGGCCTGTCCAGTATGGCGGCCGGACTGATGAGGCGGTACCGACTCGCCGGGGTACCACCCCCCCAGCTGATCTACGTGGATCGGGACTGCTGCAACAGAGACGGCGTGTCAAAGACAGCTGCCTTGTTTCAGGTCTGGCCTGTCAACACTAGTACTGATAATCATAGTAGAATTATAGCAATATTATTTATCTTACACAAAATGACTATTGACCAAAGACACGCTAGGTGATAATTACAACATCATAAAAACAGAAAAATAAAAATTGTACTCCAATAATCAGACAGACTTTTGTTTCCTTATCACAGGAGTGGGGACAGCTTGTGGTGAAATTGGACATCTGGCACCTGATGCGACGTTTCGCAGCAGGTGTCACCACAGAGAGCCACGAGCTGTACCCCGCCTTCATGAGGCAGCTGTCTCTGTGCATCTTCGAGGTGGACTCCGGAGATGCCCGCCGTCTCACTGAAGCCAAGCGGTCCCAGCTGGAGGGGAAGCACGGGATGGTCGGCCTGACCGACGCCGAAGTGATCCAGAGGATCACCAGGGAGGAGTGGAGGCTCCACTGCCGTCGTCGGACGCGTGGGGCGGAAGAGACGGCGCTCCTGATCCAGGACCTCCTCCAAACCTTCGGCGGTACGGCAGGACGCGACAACCTGGACATCCCGTTGCTCGACGCTCTCCGCATCCAGGACATATGGAGTACGCAGAGGCCCCACCTCAGCTGCATCCAGGACCCACCTGGCATGCAGCTGTACACGCAGACCGGCAGGCTGACAAAGGGCGGAGTCATCCTGCCGGTCTATCGCTGCGCGAGGGGCTCCACGTCTTTGGAGTCCTTCCACCTCCACCTCAACCGGTTCATCCCAGGTACAGCTTGTGATAAAGTCTATCATGAATTCACATTTCACGCAAATGTCAATTAATCTCTGATCTGATACCTGCTTCCTCAGGGACGCAGGCGAGTGCCAAGCACTTCCAGGCGTTCCTGATCGATGGACTGGTGAGGTGGAATGAGGACCGCGCAGCGGCAGCTTCGGGAGAGGTGGAGCCTCTGCACTCCTACAGTGGCCACCTCAAGCACGTCCTTAACCAGAAGAGCCAAAGGGTGCTTGGCCGTCAGCTGGTTAAGGACTTCACCAAGCCTGCCGAGTACACAGGTGGGTGATGTGAAAACCCTATTTACTTTATTCAGACATCATAACTGTGAGGAAAAGGAGCATTTTGCAAATCCTTTGCTTCCTGTCTTTTTGCCGTGTGACAGGGGAGCTCATCGGGGTGGAGTTCCTGTACAGGCAGACAGGCAAAGTGCTTGAGGACGTCAGCTTGGACCCCGACATTCCGGACGAGGCTGCTGCCATCCAGTCGCTGGAGGAGGTGGACGAGGGTATCGAGGAAGACGTGGAGGACCCGACCGTCTTCCAGCCAGATATCCCCTCCACCGGCACAGCAGCCCGGTCGGGTGATCCGGCTGACGCACCCAGGTCTGAGCCATCCGGCCCGGCCGCCCCTCACCAACCTGACCCTCCCGAAGCCCCTGAGGCTCCTGCTCAGCAGTCCTCCTCAGACTCTGAGGTAAGTTCACTAACACACTGCTACTACTGATAATGATAACAATAATAATTATATGTATTCAAGACTCCACAGCAGCACTTCTCTCCTCCTCCCACCTTCCTTTTCTCCTCAGGAGGAGATGCAGGGTCCTGATGGCCAGCCAGGATACCAGCATGTCCTGAAGCTGGCCAAGGCCCTGCTGGAAGCCAGGAGCCTTCAGGGGCTTTCTGACAAGAGGGTGGACGAACTCATGGCCCTCTGGCAACGCCTGCCCGAGCCGGACAGGCGACAAGTCGTCTACCCTCCCAGACACCGAGAGAGGCAGCTGAAGGGGCGGTTCAAGACAGCGAAGGGGAAGAACACCTCCTGTCCCGGGAAGGAGAGTCTCCAACGGTAAGACTCGCTTCAAATATTCCTATACTAAATATTTGCTGCCTATTAACCCTCACTGTCCTCTCCGTGACTCAGCTGTCTTCTCGGGCTGAACTCGGGCCCTGCAACATGGCCCAGCGCCAGCCGCCTGGTAGAGGCCATTTGCAGCCAGCTCTGCCGTCTCCACCCCGCGGCCACGCGGTTCGGAGGGATCATGAGGACTCGGTGGTTCCTCATCCTCACGGACTACGTGGCCATTAGAGAGGCAGTGCTGGCCAGCCCGAGGTTGATGGCTCAGACCGACATTCAGCTCTTTGAGCTCAACCAGAGGACCCTGTCCCAGTGGTGAGTTTAACCAGCAGCTTTGTTGGTGGTTTTGTAATCCGTACTGGGGTTTCTTTCCGTAAAAACATCTGCCTGGGTTTGTCTTACAGGTTCTCTCGGCGCCAGAAAGAGAGGGGGGTGTCTGTGCTGCTGCAGGGAGCTGGCGTCGTCCCTGCAGTAGATGTGGCTGTCCAGCCTCTCCCGCCAGCGAAAGGGTTGTCCTTTGTACAGGTGGGACAAGGACAGCCCTTCCGTTACAACATCCCGGAGGTGCCGGGTCCTTCAGGGGTGGGTCTTTCTGCCTCATCTGGCCACACCCCCCCTCCTCCTCCTCCTCTTCGGACACTGCTCCCGGCTGTCCCTCTCATGGCTGCTGCCCCTCCTCCTCCTCTTCGATTACTGCTCCCGGCTGGCCCTCTCATGGCTGCTCAGCCTCCTCCTCTCCATGTGCCGAAGACAACGGCTTACAGGAAGAGGAAGGCGGCGGAGGCTGATGCTGCAAGGGGTGGGCCGTCGCCCTGGAGCAAAGCCCGCCGGCAGACTGGTCAGTACACCTGCAGCAAGTGTGGCCAGGCCAAGAGGATCGACACTGGCCACACTCGCATTGCAGGTGTGTCTTACTGCGCGGCTGCCGGCGGGAAAACTGTGGAGGAATGGAGGGAGGAGATGAAGAAACTGAAAAGGGACCCAGCGGGGGGGGAATGATGCCACGTTTTCTTTAATTGTCTTTTTTCTTTATTTATTGAAATATATTTTAAAATAAAACTCTGAACTGAACTTTGTGTGGAAACTTTATTTAGAATTCATTACACAACGTCTGATATTTGACTGCAACACGGGTCAATAAAACACAACATGGTGCATAAATAAGCACAGTAGAGATGATGAGATGATACACACACATATATATATGTGTATCATCTAATCATCTCCTATATGTATATATATATGTATATATATATATATGTTGCCACTCAATTATGATGCATGTTATATTTGATATATATATCAAATATGACATGCATCATAATACAGCTCTGTAGAACAAACCTTTCTTTAATCAGATCAGTTTTATTTATTCAGATGTTATCTCACAGCACTTTACAGATACTCTTTGTAGTTTATCATCATTTACCAAAACCCCCTGTTTTAGAGTCATCAGTGTCAGGCAGTGCTGGCTGAGAGGGGAGCTCTTCCTCATCTCTGCCACAGCTGGGGATCGAACCGTGAACCTTCCGCTCCGCGGAGCAGGGCCCAATTTCCTCTCCTTGCCCCCCTCCTTTCATAGAGAAGAATGGGCAGTATCCTTTGCGCAGGGGCCATGCTAATCTTCTCTGTATCGTACCAATTTTATTATATGTGCTATCGAAGTAACACAATATCTCCCTGCATCTGGGGGATATTCCCAGGTCTCTGAGCAAGGTCAACTTTGTATTATGGTAGCAGAACACATAGAGCTCAAAGGGAGCAAAACACTGGGTTTACATGGGCCGAAAACTGCAGACAGAAGCTGCGCTAGCATGGTTCGTGGCTCTCGCCTTTGGCTTCTTTGGCATTGAGTCCAAAAAAGACCCCTGCTGCTGTGCTGCACTTTGTGCCCCCGATTGGAACCTATGTCTATTTCAAGCCTTATCTGTCTTTAAGGGTTAAATGTGGTTGATGGGCTGCTTTGGCCGGCTCAGAGGCAGGAACCGCCACGCCGTGTCCTTTGTCGTTGCAAAACTGCCCTGCCTCTGACCCGTCCAACTCATACTTACCTGGCAGGGGAGATACCATGATCACCAAGGTGGTTCACCCAGGGCTTCAAACCAGACCAATCGCCGGAACGCTGTTCGTTTTGACCTTCTGGAAGATCTACAGATGGACCGCTTGCAGTTCAGCCGACACATCCTGCAGAAAGAGCTTGATATTTCATCAAACCATCTGGAATACATCTTTGCTTACCCTGGGAAAAAGATATTTGAGGTCATCTTCACAACCAGCCAACACTTCCAAAACTGCCTGGAAAGATTTGAAAAGAAGAAAACGTCAGGATCAGGCTTTGATAAGATCAGCATGACACCACTTGCCGAAAGGGACCTGAAAACTGTTTATGTGATGATATTTTCAGAAAAAGTCAGGAACCAGGATGTCTGGACTTGGATGACAAGATACGGTGAAGTACAAAATGCAATAGAGGTGATGGACATTGATGGAATAAAAACCGGGTCTAGACGTTTCCAGGTCCGTCTCCAACGACAGGATGGGGTGCTGAGACACATTCCCAACACCATACAGTTGGGAGCCTTCAGGGGTTCTGTCTTCTACTATGGGCAGCCAAAAGAATGCAGGAAGTGTGGCAGTCTAGACCACCTTGCAGCAGACTGTAGCCGGAATATCTGCAGGATCTGCAAAGCAACAGACCACTCATCAGCAAATTGCCCAACCCCTGTCAAGTGCAACCTCTGCTCCTCCGAAAACCATCGCTTCAAAGACTGCCCGCATGCTTACTCCAACCGGGTGAAACTTTCACTTTTTGAAACCCCTGAAGCCAGAGAGGAGGAACACGCAAATGAGGAACTAGAACTCAGTCAGACTTCCCGCTCAGACACCAACCAAGAACCATCAAACAATGTCTCTCAGCAGCCAATACAAGAGCCCATTCAAGACCAAGAGGAGACAATAGGAGGTGAATCGATCATCGACTGGAGCGATAACACAGTGGAAGACATCATAGGCACGACCTACATCCCCCTCCCTATGGTCCACGCTACAGTCCAGAAGGCAGATCCACTGCCCAACCACGACCCAGGTACCAGAAACGGGAGGAACCCAGGGACCCTTCAAGATGCCGAGAATACACTAGATTCCATAATGACAAACCTCACCATTCCTCAACCCCAGGGGGAGGAAGTACTCAGGGAGGACCCCCCTGATAAAGCACAGGCAAGTGTCCCTTTGGTCCTACCTATTGCCATCAACCAGACAAAAGAAGCGAGGGATTCACCATCACAGAAACGCCCGCAGGAGTCACCACAGTCAGATGAACCCTCCCCCCCCTACGGGGACTCTCCCTCCCCAACCTCAAATCCCTTACTTGAGCCCGAGGATGTAGTTGCCGCCCCTTCGGCTACATCCATAAAAAATATCTATCTGGATAAGGAAAGGGCTATAAAATCCAAGAAAAAGAGATCAAAGAAAACGCCCCAATGGTGACACTTTGAAAACCATGCCGCCCTGCTTTCTCCCATTTGCTCCGTATGCCCCCCATTTCCATTGCATCTCTCAACACAAGAGGCCTAAATGATCCTGTAAAATGTCAATCAGCCTTCACGTTTCTACATTCAGAAAATCATGACATCTGCCTACTCCAGGAAGGTAATATAAATTATAGGGACAATTACAAGATGTTTGAGGACAGATGGAGCCATGGACAATCAGTGTGGTCGGGCGATAACAAAAACCGGTCTTCTGGGGTTGCAATCTTATTTAAAGGGAATCATTTTGACATTCAGAGGGTACAACGCATATCAGATGGTAGAATTCTCTGTGTAGATGTTGGGTGGGGTGATGCCAATCTGAGAATCATCAATGTGTATTGCCCTGTTGATCTTCAAGAACGCCTAGAAACACTAAAAGCAATCCAGCCACTCCTTTTATGTGGAAGGGAGATCATATTGGGTGGAGATTTTAACTGCCTGTTGGCAAAAAATGATCGTTTAACAACATCCCTTGTAAAGCTGGACTCCAGCTCAGAAGCCCTAAAAAACCTAATTAAGGACTTTAGACTTACAGATACATATCGTGCCAAAAACGCTGATTTGCCAGGCTACACTTGGTCAAATGGTAAAACACACTCAAGAATAGACTTTCTTCTGACCTCAAAGGGATTACAGGTCATTAATGCATCTGTCAAACCAGTATTCTTCTCTGATCACGCCAAAATTGACTGTTTATTTGGTTTTAAGGAAAAGGTTATAAGAGGTAGAGGCTCATTTAAGATGAATACATCCCTTCTGGAAAATCCCAGTATTGTAAGGAGATTTAAGGAAAAAATCTATATGTGGTCCTCTCTTGAGATTGTTTTTGACTCTGTGGGGGACTGGTGGGAAGATTTTAAAGTGCGTACTAAGAGCTTTTTCATTGAGGAAGGTAAAAAAGAAGCAAGGAAAAAACGCTATAAATTCAAAATCCAACAAGCAAAACTACAACGACTTTACACAATGGCCTATGCAGGTTTAGATGTAGCAGAAGAGATAGCGAGGCTTAAGAGAGACATGTCACATCTTACTACAGAGGCAAGCTGTGGACTACTTACACGTAGCAGAGTACATCATATGGAAAACAACGAAAAATGTACAAGATACTTCTTTCGAAAACTAGCCCGGCCGCGAAATGTTATGGACGCAATAAAAGATAAAAATGGGAAAGAGCAGACTGATATAGATAACATACTCGCCAGTGTACACAGCTTTTACTCAGACCTCTATAAAGGTGAAGATCTAGACGAAGCAGCTTTGGCTAATCTTCTATCAAAAGTAAACAAAAAGATTAATGACCATGAAGCTATGCTGGAAAGTAGATTAACTGTAAATGAATTGACCAGAGCAATTGAGAGCATGAAGAAAAACAAGGCCCCCGGTGCCGATGGGTTGCCAAAATAATTTTACATAACCTTTTGGACAGAATTGCAGGTCCCCCTATTGAAAATGTACAATGAGAGCCTCCTCGCGGGTAAATTACCACCATCCCTGAGAGAAGGCACAATCTCCCTGTTGTTCAAAAAAGGGGACAAAAAGGAATTAAAAAACTGGCGTCCCCTGACACTACTTGGCGTGGACAGAAAGATTTTAGCAAAGGCTTTATTTTTTCGATTACAGGACGTGGTAGAGGAAATTGTAGAAGTCGAGCAGACATGTGCAATACCAGGACGATCCATGAACGACAGCCTGGCTTTAATAAGAGACTCCTACTTATATGCTATGGACCGTAAGTTGCCACTGTGCATCTCTGGCCTGGATCTAGAAAAAGCCTTTGATAGGATTAACCATCGGTACCTTAAAGAAGTTTTGGTCAGTTTTGGTGTTGGGCCAAATTTGAGGGCCTGGACGGATCTATTGTACACAGATTGTTCAAGTAGAGTGTCCGTAAATGGTCACATAACAGCACCCTTTAAGGTTTTATCAGGGGTTAGACAAGGCTGTCCGTTATCTGTGATTTTATTCATTCTTGCTATGGAACCACTAGCTTGCGGGATAAGACAGGATCCTTTAATTCATGGCCTCCCCGTCCCGGGTAGCAGTGGGAAAGAAGCAACTGTATCCTTGTACATGGATGACATGACAATATTAAGCACAGAAAACAATTCAATTATAAAAGCTCTAGAGTGGTGTGAACTGTTTTCTCTTGCATCAGGCGCTAAGATTAACAGGTCCAAGAGTGAGATACTTTACCTTAACTGGAAAGAGGACAAAGTAGATCTGGGGTTAGTTGAAAGAAAAGAAAGGGTGACAATTTTAGGTATAGAGATTGGAAGAGGCATGGAAAATGTAAATTGGAATAGCAGACTCCCAGCAATTAAAGGGAAACTCCTTAGGTGGGAAGATAGGGCACTTACTTTTACTGGAAAAATCCTTGTCATTAAGGCGGAGATCCTTGCATCACTGACTCATCTAGCAGCCACCCTGCCTATACCAAGAGCCTTTCAAACAACCTTGAGAAGATCAATTTTCCAATTTATCTGGGGTTCGCACCAGGAATACTTGAAAAGAGAGATCATGTATAAACC